GGCGATTGCTTTCACTGGATTTCCGAAATCAATAAATCATGTCTGTGAGCATACTGCCAGTCTGGTTAATATGTGGTTTATGTCTTGCAAGCTCCTTTTTTTTGCACAGGTATCCTAGCTTGAATTCCAGGGAGTTCTGCCTCCGTCAGCACCTTGTTTGGCTATAGCAGCTTTCTTCTCCTCGTGTTCTGTGCTACTGCTCTGCTGTTGGTTGTAATCCACCATATGGCTGTGCTTAATCAGTACCTGTTTGGGCGACCTTGAGTATCACTTGGGATTCCTTAGAAGAACAGGTTTTATCGAAATGTGAACACAGACTCCCTTTGGCAGTAAGTTTCTATTCAACAGAACGTCCATGGGGCCTCACCGTAAGCTGCAGCTCTGAGCTATCTGCTTCTCTTGCTAGTTCTCAAAAACAGGAAATGCAGAATATATTTCTAATTTGTTGTCATAAACCCATCCTGGTATGTCACATAGTCTAGAAGATGAGAGATTTTTTAATTTGTATTTTTCTCTTGAGATGCAGGGGCTGCAGTCTAGTTTCTGTAGTAGTTCTAGTCATCCTATTAAACATGAAGCGTGGTTTAGAAATAGGAGTATGTATGTGTGTATGTGTAAAGGCAGGCACACTGTTGCATATTTAGACTGCAAGCTGCAAAAACCAACTTATTTCATCCTATGTATTTGTTCTTGCTACTACTTACTAGTAATCCACCCCTGTACTACAAATAGAGTTGTAAGTAAGTGTCCAGAAAGTATCCAGATGCGTGCAGCCTCTGCATGTTAAGCATATACTGCTCTGAGCTGCCACCAGCCATGAGTAGGTAGGAGTAAGCTCTGGTCTTGGAATATGCCTGTGGGTTCCCTGTTTAAGGCAGTTCTATGGTAAGATGAACAAAAAGAAAATAATTACTTGCTGCATTTCACAAACAGTGTAATTCTGTTGATAGTAGCTGTTTTGCAGTGTTATTTGTCTCCTAGTATATCCCTCTCCCTCAATTCTTCTTTACCTCACCTCTTAAACTGCTGGCAGCAGTCCTCTTTACCAGCTCCCAGATTTCTCTGGAATGGTTTACTAATTCTTGGAACAGTTCATTAGAGATGTAGCAGCCTTGTTCAAACTTGAACCATATTTCAGAATCTTTCATACTTGTGAAATAAATAAACTATGCCCATTTTTGGGTGGGAAAATCAGACAAGTATGGAAAGCCCACAAAATGTTGCAGACTGTGACACAAGTTGAATTAAAGAGATGGGTAGAAGGGTACCAATATGGGACTTAGTTTCTAGCCAGCAGTAGTAGCTCTCCTTTATATGACCTGATTATTCTCTTATCTGAAAATTAATTTAAAGGTTAAGTAGAGGAGTAAAAGAAGCAGAGGATTGTTCATTTGTGATTGAAAGACCTACACTACAGTCTGTCTTTGAGTAACTTTGAATTTCTCTGGTCATTCTAGACCTTTGGCTGAGCTCCATGTACACCAGTCTTGGATTGGCTCTTGGGACATCTGTTAATCTATATATAGGATTCACACACTTGCACACGTAAACAGGTGATCTCCTAAATATATTAAATGGTGTTGGGAACTCCAAGTACTGATTTAAGTCAAAATGAATTCAGGAGTGAACTGAAGTAATCCTTTTTGCCCTCCTCCCTGCCACAAAAATAAGCTGTATTGGGGAAAAAAAAAAAGTGCATTATGTGCTGGCTATAGCTTGTGCTTGATATGTTTGTATATACATTCATAAATCCCAGGAATTACTTAGTGTCTATTAAAAGTATCCTGAAAATGACTTCTTTCCTTTCTCCAGTTTAGTCCTCTCGACAGTTGCTAGTTTCTTGCTGTGAAGGGACATGGTGTTTAAAAATAAAAGATGCATATAATGGGTAGAGAAAAAGGGTAGTAGATGGTAACTGACATAGTAATAAGATATATTTAGAAAATTCATAAGGGAAGCTAAGTCAGGAAGGGAATTTTAAGGCATTTGATGAAGTCTCTAGCTGTGTGACTGATTTCTAATAAATCTGGGAACAGCAGGGAGACTTCAGAAGAGCAAAAGGCATTTTGCATCACTACTGAAAAAGGGTGAGTGAGTAAAGAGTGGTTAATGTGGTGTCAGTTCCAGGAAAAAAAAAAAAAACCATGGAAAATTTGATAAGATTTAGATGGTATAAGAACAGCAGTATAAGCAGTCTATTCAGCTTTTCAATTTGTGAAAACAGTTCTGTTCAAATGTGATTTTGTTGTTTGGATATGTAAAATTTGTTTGCTAGAGGTTTTGTCTGGGTGTAATAGACTTTTATAAGGTCTTTAACTTGGTAGTGTGGTATATTCTGCTTTTAAAAAGTATCTGAATTCAATGAAGCTCTGCTTAATTGGATTAGGAACAGACTGTTATCAAAGAAAGCAGAAAAGCATTTCAAGTTGGGATCAGCTTGCTGTGGTCTGGAAACAAATACAAGATGGTAACAGTGTGGTTGGAACAAAGACTAATGGAGGCATAAATAGTGACCTTAAAATATTGTTTAGATCATCTAGGCAAACTATGAAGGATGGACAAAATGCACTTATGCACCAAGGAGCAAAAAATGCCAGCCACACCTGTGTGGGGGATTTTTTAGCTGAAAACCTGGAATCTGGGTGGTAGAAGGTAAATAGTAGGTGTAGCTGGAAACTTTAAGGAAAGTAGATGGTCCTGGCAAGTAAACAGCAAAGTGGCAAAAAAAGCCTACCATACATTGCTGGCTGTGTTAACTGGGAAGACACAAGTAATAATGAGAATATGTGCACTTATAGCTGTGGAGATAGACCTGATGCTATAGGTCTGTGCCTAGTGAGATATGCTCATTTGGGATATGGAAATGACTCCCAGAAATGGCTCACTAGTGGAAATAATGCTGTACAGTGAGAGACTTAATGTGCCATTACGTCACAGGGCTGAAATAACTTTGTGGCACACTGCTGCTGGAAGGGTGAAGTCTCACTCCCACCTTATGTCAGTGTTAGCAAATATCTGGCTTTACAGTCGTTTGGTTGGGCTGTGGTCTCTGTCATGTCAGTGAGTCCAGCCACCAGTCAGGGGAACATGAGCGATGGTGCAGGGAGTGAGGGAGCACTCAGCAAGCTGTTAGATGAAGTGCTCGTGTAGATGTGTCATCACCTGATTCAGGTTTTAATCACCTCAAGACCAGAGGAGCAAATTAAGAGCTCTGTGAACAGGCCAGCATTAGCCCTCATGCTTGCACAGAAGTAGGAATGCTATTGCATACTGGGTGGGAGGAAGAGTCTGGGACTTCCACTTCTGTTTGCAGTTTCACAGCCCAACGAAGGCCCTGTTCCTTCCCCTCTGCATTCCCTCCTCCTTGCTCTGGCTCTTGGCTGATCCCACACAGAATTAGCATGCTGCTCAGTACATCCTCCCTCCCTCTCTCCCTTCCCCATTCTAAAGGAAGCAGGGTGCATATATTAAGAAATCCTAGTTTGGGTTAAGAAAGAGGAAAGGTAATTTCATAGCAGATTGCATACAGAAGTACCTCTGTAGGTAGGAAATGTATTACTGTCCTAAGTCTTTCAAAGAAACGTACATCAAGAGCCAAGGAAAGTGGCAACTGGACCAATCTAAGTGAAAATGTAAGTGTGCATTTAAGTGAGGGTGATTAGCCACTGTGTGAACAACCAAGGAAGAGATGGATCTCTTGTTAGCTTCCTATGTAGACCAGAACCCTTATGGGAAGATGTATCTCAGTCAGATTCAAACTGCAAACAGGAGGTTGACAGGAACAGGTAGAATGTGATAATGTGTTCAAGTAGATTAAGTGGTGTTTTGTCCTTAAATGTTTTGTCCCTGCTTTAGGGAATGTACAGTCTAAATTTGAATATAATGTATGAAATGAATGTATTGGACAATAAAAGTCCTTGAGAAAGGAAGCATAATTATAATGAGATTGTACAGTTGGACCATGGATTAGTTTTGCTGTCTGGTCATTCCACTTTGCTTGAAAAAACAAGGAAGATGCCATGCCATTCATTCTATAATATCTTATGTTGAGTATACTAAGGAGCTTGGACTTGATTGCTGGCAGGGTTTGGCATCTGTTGATGTTCACTCAGGTTGCCCTAAACTGATGTATGTGTTTGCACACTTGCATGCACATGTGTGTGGGCACATACACGTGGGATTTTATTCTCCAGGTTTTTAAGGTCCTTTTTTTTATGGAAGCTGTCTTTGTTTGTAAGAACAATCTCTAGAATATTGCTTTGATTGTGTAGTTTAAAGGCAAGCTGCTGTTATAATCTAAATGTTGAAATTAAGACTATTCCAGATATTTGCATTAGAAAAAATGAATACCATTTCATATGGCTAATGCATATATATTCTATTACTCTGAAATAAGTAGGGAACATTCTAGTGATTTAGGGATTCGTTTTGCTGTGGAACAAGAACGCTTCTAGACATATCCATGATATTTCATCTTCATGAGGTATTTCAGTATGTGACTTTCTGAGTTGAGGAAGAAAATCAGCCTTGTAATTTAGAGTAATGACCAATAGTTTTGTCATATCAATTTAATCTACACATGGTAATTAGAGCTTTCAGGAGTTGTTAGCAGCTGGGGTGTCATCCTGTGTTTATCGGAGGACTGTCAGTCGGTGTCTCCCTTTGTTTGTTTTTTTGATATTCATGGTTTGGAAAGAAGTTGGTGCTCTAGAAAGAATTGAGAAACAAGCCTGGCTTTGCGGATTTTTATCACCCTGCCAAGACCCTGCGCAACTTCCTCCTTGTTGCCCGCAGCAGAATACGGAAACCTGACTGCTGAAGGCCACTTCTGCAATTGCAGTGGTGCAGGGGAGCAGGGTGGGAGGGGAGGTCTTTCTGTTCTGCTGCTGGCTAGTGCCTTGGCATCCCAAGAAGAAGACAAGATGCGTTTGAAAATGTCGCTTCGCTTGTTTCTTGAACTGATGGGTTTTCTTCTCTTCCCTCTCTCTGCTGTCGTGCAGTGCTGCAGTTGAAGCTCCAGCAGCGACGCACACGGGAGGAGCTGGTGAGCCAAGGGATCATGCCACGTAAGTATGGCTTAAACTCTTTCTCTTGGTGGTTTTATGCATGTTTTTGAGAGAATGGTTTCCCGTATGATGTGAAAGATGAGTTTCTCCGTTTGTGGATGAAAAACATCGTGTTTGAGAGCCCCACCCTGTTCCATCCAACTTGATCATTCTGAAGTGTTGGTACTCTAGGTATGAGACCACCTCTGATACTGAAGAGAGCAGTGGCTCCAAGCACAACTGTACTCCAGAACGATGTTTCTATTTTAACACAGTGGAGAAAAGTCTTCTGGACAGTATGCTATGTTCAAATTGCCTTACATGCTTCACACATGCTGGTAATCACTATTTTAACAGGCTTCCTGCCTCTGCAGTTTCTGTTCTTGTTTGTCAGCTCCCCAGACCTCTGAGGCGGTAGCAATTTTCTATGTACATATTCCATAAACTGAGTAAAAACAGGCAGTGTGTACAAAATGTTAATCAAAAAGGGGACCATGTTTTATGTTTGCAACTAGAAATCATAGCTAGAAAGAGCCCTGTGTGCATCAGCCAGTCCCCTGCCTGCAAAAGAAGGCAAAATCTGCAGAGCCAGAGAACTCTTAGTTGTCTGGGTGAACACATAGGTTATACCCTCATGCCAAGATTTAGTAAATTCACTGTCAGGTTAGTGCTGGAGAAGTTTGGGTTTTTTTATTTCATTCCCATCCTTCTCCTCAAAATACAAAAAGATATCTGACAAATAGTTTTGTCATGCTTTGGTACCTCTGAACTAGATGGCTTACAGCTAACAATTTGAAACAAGACGAAAAAGCAAGTGTTTTATTTTTGAGATTGTCTCAGTTTTACTTAACAGTTTTAGTTAAAGGCAATGGATCAGGTATTTGTTTTCTTCTTTCAAAAACTTTCTCTCTTCCCCATTTCACAAACCTTATTTGAAGACAGTGTAGTAATGAGGATTTTCTCCTTTCTTCTGTTTCTGGGGTGCACGCTGTAATATGACACAGTGGTGTGACTTAGACTTTGCTAATGGCATAAGGTTAGGCTGTCTCTGAATGGAGAGAAGCTGTCAGCAGCTCTCTGTCAGCTGAAGTGGCTCTGTGGAAGGTAGTGGCATGCTCAAGATGTTTCTGGGACCCCACTTAAAGTTCTATTACTAAATCAAAAAGGGAAGATTGTCCTGTTTGGATATAGTAGATCATGCCTGGCTTAGTTTTACCTAGGGAAGTCATGTATGTGCTTTTGTAGAATACACTTGCTTTTAGATGAAAGGCTAGAGTCCCTGTTGACTGTGCCCTTTTACTAATGCTTCCCAGAATAAAATGTTCCTGACTTCTTTGTGGTCTCCTGCTTTAGGTGGATATGCACGCAAATACTGTATTAAGTTGTACTCAGTACTGGCTTGCTTCAAAGTGTGGCTGGTCAAACTTGTGATTCCTGAGGGGGGTCTGTTTTACGGGCCCTTTGAAAATGAAGCCCTTGCAAGTAATTCAAGTAAGGCACCCAGAGTAATTATTCACCTTTAAATTTGCTTAAAATAAAGCCTAAATAACTAGTCTTTGCAGACTTGTGCCCTTCATTGCTTCATTTATATCTCTTACATGTGAGTTTCATGACAGACCAAAGAATGCTCACTGAAAGGTCATTGTTCAAATATTGGCAGTGCATGGAAAGGTTCTTTCTGCAATGGAGAAAAACCACTTTAGAAGGTCTGCTTTAGACATGATTTGAAATAAATTCCCTCCAAACCATGGTATCATTTACCCATACCTGTCAACTGGGAATAACCACACATAAGGAAATGTTTAAAACATTATTTGCCTGGACCATTTCAATGAGAAGATCAGATGTGAGATAAATTATGGTAATTAAGGCAGAAGTCCTGTTTTTAACCTGAGAAGTTCAGAGATGACTAGAGGCCATGTTCTTCCTGAAGGCATCTCGGAGCCATGACAGCTTTGCTTCTACTTTCAGCAGTTCAGAATAGATGCTTTTACTTAGTTACTGGTAATGTGCAGCTATTCTGTTCATCTTTGTGCTCTGTATCCTTCTCTATGAAAACATTTAGGTATTTGTTCCTCTGTCATCTACTATTAAACATGACTGTACTGGGCCCCATGTCTCCTTGAGTTTGTCAGTCAGGAGCCAAGCCCCACACAGCCCTTTATAATGATTTAACAAAGATATAAAAGCAGGAATCCAGAGAATGAACTGGTGCTGAATGAAATTAACTGGAGCCCTGTTTGCATGTGAAATGCCAGTTGACTTCCAGCCTTTATGTTCCATCTGGAGAGGCTTAAAGCTCTTTAAAGAATTGTGGTAGTTGGGGTTGTATCTACATTAGCATTATAGCTTGTGTCAGGGAGGTGAAGCTTTTGAAGTGAAGCTCTTGATTGCACCTGCCTACTGTACTTTGTGTTGCACCATGCAATGAAGTTTGAGAGTTAGATTAAATTGGGATGGAAGGAAACTGGAAAATATTCTGCCTATGGTTAATATGTGTTCAGTCCATGGGACCAGCCTACAGCTTGTCTAGTGAACCACCTCCCATTTCACCTTCACCTATGGAATGTGGATGTCAGTTCTTCAGCATCAGCTGTTATTCTGTGCAAATTTGGTCTTACCTGTTAATTTTGATGAGCCTTTAATACAGATCAGTTCCCAGATCATGTAGCCAAGCAGCTGTGCAAAAATCCGTCAAAGAAGTAGAAGTTAAAGGGTTTGTTTTACATTGAAAGCTATCTAATCTGGAAACTACCTTTGGTTCTGACTGCAGTGTAAGTCTTATCATAGAATCATAGAATCTTAGGGGCTGGAAGGGACCTCGAGAGATCATCTAGTCCAACCCCCCTGCCAGAGCAGGGTCACCTAGAGTGCATCACACAGGAACTCATCCAGGTGGGTTTTGAATGTCTCCAGTGAAGGAGACTCCACAACCTCTCTGGGCAGCCTTATGTGGTGTTTAGATTCAGCTTGGTGCCCTAAACAAGAAATTGTATTTCAGGCTTCCATCAACACAAGGCTTTTGGACACTGTAAAACCTGAGGGGTGGGAGAAAAGGCATTGGTGTCTCAATAAAGTGAGAGTCACAGCACTCCTGCTGCACTTATTCAGAACAGAGCTGGGCATTGCTTACTTTTTTTTCCATGTGGAATTTTGTTTCTGTGGTAGAAAGGAAAGACAAATATTTCAACATTTTTTTACCAATTACACTAAATCTTGCCTGAATAATCTTTCCAACCCACCAGCCACCTACAGTATACCTATGCTTCACTTAAAGATTTGTGTATTGTATTAAGCAATAAAGCATTTATAAGCACTGACAGATGATTGAAAGTAATTTGGTTTTATGCTTATTAATTCTTCTTGCTTTTCGATTATCACTTTCTGTAACCTTTTACTAGTAGCACAGTTCATTAGTTGAGGATTAAAATTCTCAAATGCCCATTAAAAAAAAGTGGGAAGCAAGTCTTCATCTACATTTGATATACCTGTGCTTTGAGCTGGGACTGTATCTAGGAACAAGGACAGCTGAGTTTTCATATTTATTCAGCTTTTGGCCTATTTTCTGATAGTGCAGATAAACAAGCTTTTTTGCTATTTGCATTTTTTGTAGCTATGCAGAGGTGATTTTCATCTTCTCGTCCTCATAAAATGCAAGCCAAACAAAAACTGCTGTCTGTGCTCAGCTCTTTGAACTCTTGTCATGCTGTTAGAAGAGCAGTCAGATGCTGTCAGTTTTTATAGTGTCTAATTTAAAGGTTACAGCTGTTTTTAGGTTTTTGAGGGGAGTATTAAGCACCCAGTTTTCAACCCTTGAAAAGAATGTGAAAGCATGTGAGTAGAAAGACATGTGGCAAGTATCTTCGAGTATCTTAAAGCAGCAAAATCATAGAGAAAAGATACTTGGCAAATTTAACAATACTCTGCTTTGCAAATTAAGTTGTGCTTTTTTGGTTTTGCAAGGTTTAAAGCTTCACATGCCTATTGTTTTATCCACTGGGGTCATCTTTGGCTTCTAGCTGCAAGCACAAAATACAGACAAGCATGCAAGGTTGCTATGTGGCAAAATCTTGCAGAGAAGCTGTTGTTGTGACCATCAGTTCCACCCAAGCAGGTGAAACAGAAGTTGAAGATTACTTCTGGGAATGTGCCTTGTGTTGCTCTGTAGCGCTGCTTGGTGAATGTCTGAAAGATGACATAAGCAGCATTTGAAAAGGGCATCATCTGGTCTGAAAACTGGGAGGGTGGCTGCAGTACAGGCTGAGAATTTCCAGGAGATTTTTTTTTGCTTCAGGGTATTGGCTGTTTGCCAGTTTTTGTGCCCACATCCAACTACTCTGTATGTTTGTGTTCAGGATGTGATATATGCAGAGTACATGAATGTGTGCAGAATCCAAACAGGATGGAGTTTGTGCTGTTTTTCTAATGTGACTGTTTTTACAGGCTCCAGGGTGTTTCCATGCTATAGATCTGTGTTACTAACAATTGGATGCAGTTTTCTGCTTGGACGTATGGGCTCTTAGTAGCCAGAGGGTATTTTGAAGTACAAGATTTGTGAATCTTGTGCTTCTGGGCTTCAGACTTGGCTGAAAAGAGTGTATTTTGTCTCTAACCTACATGGAGGGGGGGTGTGTATGAAATAGTTCAGTTGCAACATGTCACGTGGTTAGGAATTATTGTAATACAGGAGGCAATCTGATTTTTACAATCTCATTGGGCCTCTCATGTCACTAGCTCCATTTTTTTTTTAGCCATAATGTTAAGGAAGAAAATTTAAAATTAGTTTTAAAACTAAAACGCAGTGTGTGCTTTGGGGGGCTTGAGAGGAGCTGTGAGGCATTGATTAGAATTAATTCTAAAGGAATTGCCGTTTGCTGGGGACACTTAGTGATTTGAGGTTAGAGAACACAGTTTATGCTTTGGCATATCAGCCTTAGTAATGATGTAGGCAAAGCTTGTAACTGGTCTTCTGCATCCAGCACAGCTACCATCACAAGCAAACAAGGGTCCCTGAGGTGTTG